AAGAGAGAGAGAGAGAAAGCAAGCTGCCAGGTCCAGGACTTGAACCCCAGTTGGCCATGTGGGAATCCAGCACCTCAACCACCAAGCCACCTACTGAACCCTAGGGCATTTTATATAAGAACAAATCAAGTACTTCATGATAACACCAGAACACATCATTCTAAGACAATGTGCACCAGACCACTTCTCCAAGAGGTCTCCATGCCCTCTCCCTCGCTCCATCCCTCATCCTTGCACGAATCAAGAAGGCAGCCAAGCCAGACACTTAGATCAGAAGACTGACTCCCCAATAGGTGTTAAACCGAAGGGCACCAAGAATTCAGTTACATCTCTTAAGCACCAGGTACTGAAGCCAGGGGTCTAGTTAAGTACAAGTACCTGACACTGATACTGGCCTTGTGTGTCTGTCACAATTTGAAGACAAAAACAGTGCTACCCACGGGAACCAGCAGTTAGCGTAATGGCTATGTCGCTGGACTCCCACGTAGTCGACCGCGGTTCGTGTCCCGGACCCGGTGGCTTAAAACTCACGCCGGGCGTATGTGCGTGCGTGCCCAAGATCCCGAGAGGAGAATGGAGGAGAAGGGATTGCGGCGTGACCATCCCCCCTGGGGAGTGATTTCTCGCTTTCTGTCTCTATGTCTCTCTCTGTCTGTCTGGCGAGCGCACGCGCCCTACAGTGAAAATCTCTCCAAAAAAAAACAGTGCTACCCAATGATGTATTAATGTGATCTGTCACAAGGATCTACTATGTGGCCCAGGGACCTGGTAAAGCAGTCCCTTGCAAGAGCAGCTGAGGCACAACTCGGGTGGCCAGACATAGAGTGCAGGTGTCCTGGAGGAGGGTGAGCTCTCTCCCAGTGACACACACACAGGGCAGGCAGCCAGACACAGGTAATGCAGCTGGGAGATCGAGGGATGGCTGGCCACCAAGGGCCAGGAGCAATGTGTCCTACAGTTCAAATCTGAGGCGAGAATTTTCTGTATCCCCCCTCACTGATCGAAAAGCACATGGGAAGGGAATTCTGGCTCAGTGTAGCCAGAAGCCAGAAAGGTATCTCACGTGGCTGCCTCACCCAGCCCAGGTGGCCTGCCTCTGGGATGCTGGAGAACAGCAGGAGTTTAGGCACATTTACTAGTTCTGGTTTCAGGCAATCTGTAATGCAAGAGGTGTCTTCTGGAGAAAAGTTTAGGTTTATTTTCTGTCCACTAGAGAATTCAGCCCTACCCGTTCTTTCTCTTTGTTCTCTTCTTCTCTCTCATGGTCACCTAAACGGCTTTATCCAACTTGTTTAATTCACAAACTGCCTTTATTTTTCTGTTATAGGTTAAAAAAAAAAAACAAACCTCCACAAGATTGTTAGGAACCGTTACTATGAAGCTATTATAAAAATCTCACGCTTGTTTCATTTTCCAGGATAAAACTTGGGATCTATTTTTTCATAAATAACATGGTCAAAACATAAATGTTAGCAGGACATATTACTGTGTAACAAACCCTAGGTGATAAAAACGATTGAGCTTCTGACTCAAGCCCAGGTAACATAAAATGCTTAGCATGTAGTCAGTTGTCAGAGGGAAGCCTGGAGCCCACATAACTGAGGCCCACGCTGGCCGCTGGGGTAAGGCTGTCCAGGTGGGGTAAGGCTGAGAAACTGTGGGCCATCCTGTCCTCCTTGGTCACTTGCTCATTTTCTGATGGTGCTCAGTGAAGAATGTGACTATTCAGGGACCTTGGTACCATGGTCTTCTCACCCATCCAAACATGGTGGTTTTGAAAAGGCTGTAATAGGAAGGCCTTGTTTTTTTGTTTTTGTTTTGTTTTGCTTTAGTTTTTGCCAGAGGGCATGTGGGGGGACACCTCCAGATAGAGTTGCAATCCTCCTTCCTCCATTTCTCCATTCTGTTAGGATCCTGGGCATGCATGCACATGCACCTGATGTGTTCTTCCAGCTGCCTTGGCCAGGACTTTAACTTAGATCAGTCATGTAGGATCTGGCTCCAAATGCACAGTGCTCAACCAGTGCACAACCACTGTACTACCACTGCACCATGGGGCTGGCCAAGCTATTGTTTTTAACATGCATATTATCTTGGATGAGGTATGCTTAGGTCAGATGTAGATCAAGAGACACCAAAAGACTTGTACAGTTTTGCTGTACCCACAGTTCCCTGGAAGCACACAGCACCATGTAGGCTGACGCCAGGGGAGCACCTGGAAGGGCCATAGTCAGAGGGAGTGAGGGAGGAACTGTGTACTAGCACATTTGTGTGGTTTGGGCAGGAAGGAAAGGGTGAGACAAGGCAACCAGGTTTTGAATTTGCTAATTTGAGTTATTTCAGGGAGCTCTGACCTGGAGAGGCTGCCCGGGTCTTCTAGTTATCTGGCCCTAGTCTGATTATAGAGTGGGTGGGTGATGGCTCACAGTGTGAAAGCCTGATAAAGGAGGTGGTTGGGGGTGTGGCCTTAATTAAGTTTCTCAAGGGGAGGAACTGAGTGGCCTCTAGCCAGCACCTAAAAACCAGGTCAAGATAATTCACATGTTCCCATGTACACTACCTTACAGGAAGCAATATTCTTGAAAGAAATTTAGTTAGTTAATTTAGTTCAAAAGCTTCCCATGAACCATCACTTCTCTGATCCCAAAACATCAATACTCCACACTTCAACATTTTCTGAAATTTTGAAAGATTTTATCATCAAAAATGTATTTTTCTGGGACCAGCAGTTGGCACAATGGCTAAGTTGCTGGACTCCCATGTAGTCGATTGCTGTCTGAGTCCCAGATCTGGTGGCTTAAACTCACACCAGGCGTGCGTACATGCGTGCCCAAGATCCCAAGAGACTGCAGTGTGGCCATCCCTCCTAGGGGGTGATTTCCCGATGTCTCTCTTTGTCTTTCTGGTCAGTGCATGTGCCCTATAGCAAAAACCTCTCAAAAAAAATATTTTTAAAGAGTTGAGGCCAACTCAGGCCTATTGGTTAAAGGGAGTCTGGATCCCACATGCTGACAGCTTGATAAAAATACTCAGCATGTAAGCATGTGTGTCCTAAATCCCAAAAGTGTAGAAAAGGCATTCCCATAATCATGGCATTACTACTGGGGGTGCTCCTCCCCCCCACCGTCTGCCTGTCTCTCACTTGCTATAGCAAGTGCATGTATGTTCGGCAATGAAATAAAAAAAAATGTTAGAAAGCCCTTATAGCAATGGTTTATCTATAATCTTTTCTCCAAAACAGTAAAAAGAACTAGAGAACATATTGGTATCTGTTAAATTTGTTAAAATATTAAATGTAACTTTCTGTGTATCTATGATATACTACAATTTTAAAAAATTGAAGAGTGTTTATGCCCAAAACCCCAGAGGAGAATGGAGAAGAGATTGCGATGGGGGTCAGGAGGGCGGTGATTTCATGCTTTCTGTCTTGCTAGCAAGTGCATGCACCTTAAAGCTAAAATCTTTGTCAAAAAAAGATGTATTCCACCTGGCAAGTGAGAAAGTACCAAAAGAATATCACCATGTTCCAACTCCAAACAGATAGACCAATGTATTGATTATTAACAGCTATTAAAAGCCAAAAATGATAGAGAGAATACAACCAAATATCATATACTTCATGGTGCGAGTAAGCTTATCACTATGAGTTTGCTTGAGCAAGAGAAAGGATCAGAGAAGTGACCAGGCTTTGTAGAGGGTGTTCCTCTCCCTCATATGCACACCTACCCTATTAGAAGGGGAAAAAAATAGCTGATCTTTGAAAATTTTGTCTGAAATTAGTGAACCTTTTTCTTGGGTATTTTCATTTCTCCTATTGCTGCTTAAATCTCATTGTTCTTTCTTGCAGACTCTTTTGAAAAACTACCCCTTATTTCATTGTGGTTCTCTTTTTTTTTTTTTTTTTGAGAGGTTTATTTATTTTTTTTGCTACAGGGCACGTGCGCTCGCCAGAAAGACAGAGACAGAGAGCTAGAAAGCGAAAGGGGTGACAGCCACGCCACAATCCCTTCTCCTCCATTATCCTCTCGGGATCTTGGGCACGCACACACACGCGCCCTGCGTTGAATCCAAGCCACCGGGTCCAGGACTTGAACCGCAGTTGACTACATGGGAGTTCAGCGACATAGCCATTACGCTAACTGCTGGTCCCAGTTCATTATGGTTCTCAACTCATAATCTGACACTGTTCTGAACACTTCTTTAATTTCTTTAGTCATTTTTCGCCAAAACTTTACTTATTTCCTTTAAGAGACAACGCAGACAGGATCTCATCACAGGTGATCCCCCAGCACGCTGACAAGCCTTGCAGACTGCCAGTCAGCCAGCCAGCCAGGATCGCCCGCACTCATAGAACTCAGGTCCTCCGGGACCTAAACCCAGGCTTTCCCATATGGCTCCTGTATCGGGCAGTGGTGTGCTACCAACTGTGTCACTGCTGCTCCGCTACTCTGACGATTTTAAAAATAACTTCAGTTTAATTTGTGGAGACGGTCTTGACGTCTCTTCAGGAACAAAGCTCCTCAAAAGAAAATGGCGATTACCAGCCCTAGAACACCTGAGACAATCTGTTCTTGTGCCTCGGGCGATGGAGCTGGCGGTGACCTCCGTGGGCTCAGGAGCTCTGGGGCTGAAAAGCCCGCGTTCGCCCGAGGTCTTCTCAGTGACCTTCTGAGGCTCGAGGGGGCTTTTAGCCCCTCGGCACGACCTCAGCACACTGAATCTGACACATGCACCCCCTAAATGCTGCCCTGGGTGGTCGGTCTTCTCTCTCACTCCTCCATTTCCTCCTTCTACGCTGATCTCAAACAGGCAGTCCTTTGGCCTCGCCAGGCAGCGTCCAACGCCTCAAGAGCAGAAAGCGGCTCCCTCCCCCTGCTCCACCCCCCCGCAACCAAGATGGCTTTGCGCGCGCACCACGTCCTCTGTGGCTCCGCCCCGCCCCGCGCCCAGACGGCCAATCCACAGCCGCGCTACGTACACGTCACTAGCGCGCGCGCCCCGGACGTGCGTTTGGGGGCCCCGCCCAGCCTTGGTCCTTGCGTTCTTCCGGCTCCGTCGTGGAAGCAGGGCTGCGCCGCGTCTTCCCGAGGAAGGTGGGGTTCGGGGTAACCGGCCCGCGGTCATGCCGGCAGTGGGCAGCGGGGTGGGGAGGCAGGCTCGCGGGACTCCTGGTTCAGGGTGCCTGGGGAGTGGGGCCGAGTCGGGGCCCGGCACGCCGGGAACAGGAGGGCTTCCGGAAGCGCCGTGTGCGCTCCACAGGCCGGAGCCGAGGCCTCGGGCCTGCTTCGTGCCTGGCTCCGCCCCTCGGAAGCCCCGCCCAGGGCGCGCCGCGGGGTTTCCATGGTGACGGTAAACAAGTCTCAACTGCCTCAGCTACAACTGCCAAGTCCCCCGCGTTCCACCCTCCTCTAGGTGCTCCGAGGGACGACCGAGGTGCGGCAAGTGCGAGCGGGAGCGTGGAGACTCAGAGCCCGAGGTGAGGGCGTCCTGGGCGGGTGGCGTGTCGCAGGTAGAGGCCTCACTCCGAGACTGGGCCAGGCTTGGGGCCTTTGGGAGTGGGGGCTGCGACCTTAGGATTTGTGATCTGGGAGACGGTTTTGAGGGTAAGAACTGTTCTCTCGGGACCGACTGAAGTCTGAGGCCTATCGGCGTTGGGAACCGCGGGGCTGGAATTTGGGGACTGGAAGACGAGTTTGAGGTCAAGGGCCGCACACCCCGGACCGACTGCGGACTGGGTCTTTATGGGGAGTGAAGACCGTACGGCTTGATTTGGGGTCGAGGAAGCAGGATCCGAGGATAGAGGCTGCATATCCGAAACTGACCAGGTCCTGGGGCCAGAGCGTAGGGACCGCGGGGCTGGTATTAGGGTATTAGGGGAAGTGAGTTTCAGGCCAAAGCCTGCACACCCGGGACCGCACAGAGACTGGTCCCACGAGCGTTGTGTATCTCGGGGCGAGATTTGGGAATCAGGGAAACGGGGGTCAGAAGTCCAGGGCCACCTACGCGGCCACCAAACGGTGCCTGGGATCGAGGTAGAAGCTGTAAATCCCAGGACTGACCCCACCAGGGTGGGAACCGCGGACAAAGATTTGCGGTTTGGGTGGCGGGGTTGTGGTCCCGAAGGTGGGTCACGGCCGCGCGCGGCACCCCGATCTCCGGGCAGGGCACCGGGCGCCTGTGGGAGGTTCTTTTGAAACGAAAGCGGTAAGCTCACGTGGCTGAAGGCGTCGGCGAGTTGCACAAGACTCGCGGAGGGCTGGCTCCTCCTCCCTCCTCCCACGTCCCGCTCCCAGAGCCCCCGTGCGGTCTCTGGGCCCTTTCTTCCTCTTCCGCGGCGGCGTGTGCCCGAGCGCCGTTCTCTTCTCTGGCCTCCAGCTCTCACAGGTATCGTTTGCGTTTTGGATGAACATCTTTGCCTCCCGGGCTTCGTCGGTCGTTTCCTTTTCCTTTCGCTTCACTTCTTTGTGTCTTGGGACGTATTTTCGCCGATTCCTACTGCTCCTGGGAAACTTGTGGGCCCGGCCCAAGCTCTCGCTGCTCTCTCACCGTGCTCTCCGGGACCCCGTAGTCCCGAATCATTTCCCCCGCAGACCGTAACTTAAAGGGGCTCGCAGGGGTTCTGGCACACCACCGTCCGATTCTAGTCGTGTGCCGGACCGCCGCCATGCGGCGTTCGTGTCCCGGGCGGAAGAGAAGGGCCCCAGTAGGCGCTTTTGGCCGCTACTTTTCCTTCCTGAACAGGCAGCCCGGACAAGTCGGGAGGTGCCACTTTGTAGTTTTCACGAGTATCTCCAGCGACGCTGGCTCTCGCCCGCGCAGCGGCCCGCTACCTGGCGGGGAGGGATCCGCGTGCTGCCGGGGCCGAGCGGGGCAGTGCGTGTGGCCGCGCCGCTTACCGGAACCGCCCGGGAGGCAGGCGCAGGCGGTGGGTGAGGGGCGGCCCGTGCGCGCCTGGGGTAGGGGTCAGGGGCAGGCCTCGGGCGGCAGAAACACGATGGCGAGGCGAGCTGGCGGGAAAAGCTTCGGGGCTTATCATTTTAAAAGTCGTGGGGCTTAGCTGGGGTGCAGGGAGCGACGCCATAGGAGAGCCATGTGGGAGGCCTGGGTTCCGGCGGTTCGCGGCCTAGGTTTAGCGCGCCAGGCGCACCCGCGATTGCGCAGTGATCCTGGAGGGCTGGGGGTGGGGGTGTTTGGGCGTGGGGAAACTTTGTCAGGGTTCTCTTTGTCTCAATTTCTTGCGTTTAGTAAAACAGTAAACTTTTTTAAAAAAATTTTATAGAAATAGTACCGATCATAATTTTTTGTTTGTTACTTTAGTTTGGATTTTTAAAGTTCTGAATTTCTAGTGGGAATAAAAAATACCTCTGGTTCTTCGGATAGATAAAAACTTTTCAGTTAGACTTAACATACATTTGGATCTATCAATGGACAGTGCTGTTTGACTTTTCTAGTGAAATTTCTAGACTTCGTTTTTTCGTTTTAAAACAAGTAAATTACTTTTAATGAATATTGGGAAAGATCGCTTTATTATGCAATATTAAGCAAGTATAGTTTTTGGTTATAGAAGTTATATTCTTGTATGCATTTCCGTAAATTGACTCTTAACTGGTAAGTGACTTTGGTTTCCACTTAAAGGTAATGTGACAGAGCTTTCCTTTAAACACTAAAGTTTAACTAAAAATGCGAATTGATTTAAAGGAAAATATTGAGGAAGGAAAAGAGTGAGTTCTCCCATGTGGCCAGAACCCTGGAAACTGATGGGAAAGTCATTGGGTTAGGCACTTGGGTGACTGCCCTCTAATTCCCCTTCCCCCACCTGAGCTTTGGCTCTTGAGCTCTTCTTAGAACCATGTTAATTGACTCTCACCAGGTACAGCTACAGAACTTAAGTAGGTGTTTTACTCCATTTTGTAATCATAAACTGGTGATCATTGAAAGTGGGTTATTGCATTCATCCCCATGAAACAGATGAGAAGGTAGAGTTTAGGGAGAAGTCACTTGTCCAGAGACACAACTGGGACCAAGAGAGAAACAGTCTGACCAGGACAGCCCTTCTCTGCCAGGCTTCATTCACCTAGTTGCCTTGAGGCAGAGTTCCTGTGGAGGACAGCAAAGTGGGCAGAGGGAGAACCTAGCTCAACCCAGACAAGCAGACTTATTTTAGTAAAATCTCAGACCAATAAAATTCTTATTCATAAATAATTTCTATTTTTTTCTGCTTCTATTTCTAAGGAGTCTCTTAAAACATAAGGGCAATACCATCATCATACTTTAAAAAAGTAATTCCTTTCTCATATCAAGTACCCAGGATTCAAACACTATAAAAAGTTTTTATATAACTGGTCTGTTTGAACAGGATCCAAAGTCACACCTTATATTTGATAAGATGCCTCTCAGATTATTTTTTTAGTTCAGAGCAGTGCTGTCCCGATAGAAATATAAGCCACCTAAAATTAACTTTATGTGTAACATTTCTAAAAATTAAAAAAAAATAATATGTATATGAAGCCTTCAAGATCCTGTGTGAATTTTACACTAAAAAGACCATCTCAGTATGTATCTGCTACATTTCAAATGAGGTGGGAGACTACTGTATAAGAAACAGTGATAATCTAGAAGAGTCCCATTTAAAGGATATTCTTCCTTTGGGCATATTTGTCAAACACGGTAGAGTTCCCTAACTTAGGTTTTTATTCATTGTATTTTAAGGTGGTGTGTGAATCTGTTCTATTTCCTTTATGATGGTAGTTAGCTCTAAAGGTTGTGATTCCTATGGGAGTTTGTGGAAAGAAAATTTAATTTTCAGGGCTGTGCTTCTTAAGCACTGGCACATCTGTATTGGTATTTCATTTTGTGAAATTTTAGCAGCATTTGACCATTTTTTAGATCCATCATTTTGTTAATGGTTTTGAAGTCAGGTGATTATTTATTGAGAAATACTTATATAGAGAAGAAATCTTAATCCTTTGATGTAAGTATGCTTTACATTGCTAAAGGCAGGTACAGTTTTTCTTTATGTTCAGCAACATCTAGCATAAAGAACGTGCATCCCTTCCTACCCATGTGCCAAATATAGCCAACTGTTTTTTTCTAGTATTATGAAAGTCATGGGTTTTAACATAGGATGTGCCTTAATCCACTGCATATTCTCTTTGATACTCACATTACCAAATTTTTACCCAGTGGAAATCCTCAGACTGGTTCCTAATTCTTTCTTGGCACAATTTGAGCTTAACATTTCTCATAAAACATTAAAACAATAGTTTTACATCTTCTGTCTGTACTGATACTATCAATATGAGAACTTGCTGTGATTGACTTTGAAATAATCAGCTACACTTGTCTGCCTGAAATAAACCCAACCTGGCCATGATGTTATGTGTTTTACCAGATTTGGTTGGCTAACACTTGTTTAGAATTATTACATCTGAGTGAAATTAGTCTGTGAATCTTAATAAACTACCATAAAACTTTAGGAAATATAACACCAATTCCAGGTTGCTTTTAAGTCAAAGTTTTAAAAAAGTAGGTCAAAACACAGTACTTTATAAGTTAAAATATTCAGACAGCCTTGAGCTAGGAAAAGATCTCTCAAACAGGGCATAAAAAAAAAATGTCCTGTCCATTAAAAAAAAGAATTACAGGGCAGCTGGTCCATATGGCTGACTGCACCATTTGAGTCCTCCACCTGGTGGAGATGGCTGCTTAAGTGTATATGAGTGCCCAAAGTCCTGAGAAAATAATGAAGGAGGGATTGTGACATGGCCATAAGTCTGACTGTATAAATACACATTGCAAAGATCAGCCATCATTAAGGTATCCATTCACTTTCCAGTTGAGAACCCTGTTCTGCTTATGTTAATTTGGTTAGAATAGTACTTTTATTAGAGAAATTTTTGCTAGAGGATGTGCGCACTTGCCATAGTGACAGAGACAGAGAGCAAGAAATCATCTGCAGGGAGAATGGCCACACCACAGTCCTTTCTCTTGGGATTTTGGGCATGTATGCACACATGGCCTGTCATGAGTTTTAAGCCATTGATTGGGTCCAGGACTTGAACCACGGTCTGCTATGTGGGAGTCCAGTGAAATAACCATTAAAACATCTGCTGGTCCGAGAATAGTATTTATTTGGTCGAATTATGAAATGGATGACATGCTGGGCCACAATTATGTTTTTATTTTTGAAGAATTATCTTATACTTGATTTTATTTACTTATTTAAAATTAACTTTATTTATTAATTTGACCAGAGAGGGACAAAGCAATAGCAAGTAAGGGAGAAGGAAAGTGAGAAAGCAAGCTGCTAGGTCCAGAACTCCAGGCCATGTGGGAGTCCAGTGCCCATGAACACCATGCTCCCTGCCGGCCCTATTTATTTATTTTGTAAAGAATTCCTTTATATTTTAATTTTATTTATTCATTTATTTTAATTCAACCCTAGAAAGAGAGGAAAAGTGAGAAAGCAAGACACCA